GGATTACAGGTGTGAACCACCATGGCTGGCCCCTACAGGGATATTTTAGACAGCACAGGCTGCCATTAGAAAATGCCATAGACATTGGCATGATAGAAATGATAGAAACTTAATTCTCACAGTTCTGCAGGCAGAAGTCTGAGATCAGGGTGCCAGCACCATTGGGTTCTGGTAAGAGCCCTCTTCCTGGCTTGTAGATGACCTCCATCTTGCTGTGGAGCGAGCATCTCCCTGGTATCTTGTTCTATAAAGACAATCTTTTCACATCAGGGACCCACACTCACAACCTCATTTAACCTTAGTTACTTCCTTAAAGGGTTACATCTCCAAACAGTCACATTGGGAGATATTGCTTCAGGGTATAACTTTGGGGAGAGACATAATGCAATCCATAGCAAGAGATGTTTATATTTACTGTGGTTTTCTCAGTGAAGCATGTGATGAGATCCTCAGCATGGGCAGGTAGAGGGAATGGCTAGAGAGAAAGGGGGGGAGTGTAAGAATTTGAGTGGAATTTAGAACTTATGAGAGAAATACAGTAACACTGCTAGGCTCATCTGAGTTTATGGTCATGAATTTATCATCAAGTCTGTCCAATTGTGTAGTTTTCTTTAGCTTATTTTTCTGATGTAGGAAAAGAAAAGGCAAAAATATGAGTTCAGGAACAGAGTTTAGGAAAGTGAGGATAGTAAAGAGCAATGTTGTTGAAAGTTTTACAGGAGAATAATTATAATGATCTGAAGCATCAGAATAAGGACAGAGGTGAACACAGAAAGGTGGTTGTTTTTCAGATTTTGGAATACTTGCATTACACTACTTGTTGAGCACCCTAAATCTGAAAAACCGAAATCTGAAATGCTCCAAAGAACACTTCTCTTGTGCATCATGCTGGTACTCAAAAAGTTTTGGATTTTGGGATAAAAGACACTTAACCTGCACTTACAATTTATTAAGTTTAAGGAAATACAACTAATTTAAATTATTATGGAAGAATCTATAATTTTAAACAAATAGAAAATTATGATGTACACTACTAAAACCTGAAACAACATATCATTACTCTATTGTGACTCAAGGTTAATCTGTATTATTTACTTTATTTTAAATCAAGTTTAGCAAATGGTGACATAGGGATACTTATCAGCTCTACCACTTATGTGCAATAATTTATGTAAAAATTTTAAGTATTTTTCTCCATAGTCATATAATACACTTCTAATCTTCTTATAAGCTGACATTTTCATGTAATATCAATTAATTAGCCTGAAGAAACTAAGTGAAACATGGCCAAAAATGATCATGCAATTATAAAACTATTAGTATATTATGTGCCATTCAGTATCAACTAATATTTATTGAGCACCTCCTATCTTCTAGGACCAAAGATGTTACCTTACAGAAACCTTAAAACCATCCTTTAAGATAGATGTATTTTCTATTTCACAGATGACAAAACTAAGATTCAGATTGACAATAACTTGCTCACTACCACAGACAGTAATGTATTTTAATTATATTGATTGCCAATTTTAAGAAAATGTATTTTTCACATTTGTGTTATTACTACAAAGACTTTTTGAGACAAAGTCTCACTTTGCCACCCTTGGTAGTGCTGTGGAGGCATAGCTAACAGCAACTTCAAACTCTTGGGCTCAAGTGATCTTCTTGCCTCAGCCTCCCAAGTAGCTGAGACTATAGGTGCCGACCACAACCCCCAGCTATTTTTTTAAAGATGGGGTCTTATTCTTGCTCAGACTGGTCTCAACCCCCTGAGTTTAGGAGATCCACCCAGAGTGCTAAGATTATAGGCATGAGCCACTGCACGTGGCTTTACTACAAAGTCTTTAACATTCTTCTTAAATTCCTGTGGACATAAGCAGTATATTTTTATTTATATCACCATCACTTTTTTCCTTGTCTTCCTAGAATCCTCACCATTTAGCTATAATTTCTAGCTGATAAACTTTGATAAAATATACACAAGTGTACATAATTTTGGTATTCATTTTGCTGCATGTACATCATTTAAACTACTATATTATGCATGTATAATATGTACCTTTGTTTTGCATTATAGGGATGTCTTAGCACAAACTGCCACTACAAAATACCACAGACTGGGTTGCTTAACTAATACAAACGTATTTTCTCATAGCTCTGGAGTAATACAGTATTACCATATTATTCTGGAATTTTAGAATGACACAAGTAGAGACTCTAAAAGTTACGCCTGTTAAAATAAACTATGATTTCCAAAATATACTTACATATATTTAAAATTAACTTCATTCAAATTTTTGGTTTATAAATTTATCAATACAAAATGTTACGAAGCTTAAGAGTGGTGTATTTTGACAATTAGCCACATGTAAGGTAATGAAATATACTCTTAAGCTTGAAGTACCTCTTGCAAAACTCGGCTTCTGGGTGATTCCTTATTTTAGTTTAACTAGAACAAAATTACAAAAGGTGTATTTTACTTTATATTATAGATAGGTAACCATAGTCAAAAAGTCAAATAATACAGAATTCAATAAATATTGAGGATAATCCAATAGTTAATATTAACGGATTCTAGTCAACGTCTTAAAGAAAAAATAAAAGCGTATCTTAATAGAAAGGGAAGGAGCAATAAAGAAAAGCAGACTATTAGAGATCTAGTAAGTTTTCTTACTTTACAGATAAAGGACTAGGGCTCAATCTTGATAAGTAACTTGCCCAGCTCATACATCAGTGTTTTGTAAAACCAGGACTGATTCCTGAACTTGTTTTGTATTCTTGGCTCTTTTGACCGTATCTTTGTCTTCTCATGTTATGAATAAATCATATTACTTATTCACCATATTTTAACTTTAATTTGAAAAATTATCAAATAATAAAATTTTCTCTGTAGTCCAATAACTCTAGTTTTTCTGAAAATGAACATTATAAGAAAGGATGCAGTTTATAACATGAGATAACTCTTGTAGGTTCATTAAGATGTGATCTCTATACAGGAAAA